GTTCGATCCCTGGCTGCCGGCGAGGGTCCCACATGGCGCGCAGACCTCTCCTGCCATGCCCGCTGCTCCCCTCAGCAGTGTATTTCATCACTCTGCCTGTTCTGCTCCCCACTCTGGCTCTGGTGAATTCTCTCACCCTCCCGTGCTTCCGACTGTACCCCAGTGCTTGTATAAATAAATAAATAAATAAATAAATAAATAAATAAATAATAAATCTTTAAAAAAAAAAAAAAAGGAAATCCAACACAGCAACAAAAAGAAAAATAAAAACCATATGATCATATCAATAGATGCTAAAAAAGCTTTTGACAAAGTACAACATCCATTAATGATGAAGGCCCTTAAAATTCCCGGGATAGAAGGAACATACCTTAACATGACAAAAGCCATATATCACAAACCCACTGCCAATATCATTCTTAATGGCGAAAAGCTGAAGGCCTTTCCTTTGAGATCAGGATAGAGAACCCTAAAATCAACACACAAAAGTAAGTAGCCTTCCTATACACAATCAATCAGTCTGAAGAAGAAGAAATCAAGAAAAACATCCCTTTTATGATTGAAACAAAAAAAAAATCAAATACTTGGGAATAAACCTAACAAAAGAGGTGAAGGGCCTATACAAAGAAAATTATAAAACACTGTTAAAAGAAATAGAAGACAAAAAGAAATGGAAAGACATCCCCTGCTCATGGATTGGAAGAATTAACATTATTAAAATGTCCATCCTACCAAAAGCAACATACAGATTCAATGCCATTCCAATAAAAATCTCAATGACAGTCTTTAAAGAAATAGAACAAATACTGATGAAATTCAAATGGAATCACGAACAGCCAAAGCCCTACTGATGAAAACAAAGGAGAAAGGAGGTATCACATTTCCAAACTTCAAGCTATACCACAAAGCCATAATAATTAAAACAGCTTGGTATTGGAACACAGACACACAGACCAATGGAACCAAATAGAAAGCCCAGAAATAAAACCACACTTATATGGACAACTGATCTTTGACAAAGGAGCAAAGAATATGCAATGGAACATGGACAGTTTGTTCAATAAATGGTTCTGGGAAAACTGCACCACCACATGCAAAAAAATGAAACTAAACCACTACCTGTCACCATACACAAAAATCAACTCAAAATGGATAAAAGTACTGGACATAAGACCATAAAATATATAGAAGAAAATATAGGCAAAACACTACAAGACATACATTGTAATAACATCTTTAAAGACTCATCATCCAAAGCAAAGGAAGTCAAAGAAAAGATAAACACCTGGGATTACATCAAACTGAAAAGCAAAAGAGACATTAACCAAAAAAAAAAAAAAAAAAAAAAAAAAAAAAGCAAAAGAGACATTAACCAAAACAGAGAGACACCCCACTGATTGGGAAAAAATTTTTGCACTCCATTCAACTAATAAGAGACTGATCACAAAGATATACAATGAACTCACATGACTCAACAAAAACAAAATAAGCAATCCAGTCAAGAAATGGGCAGAAGAATTTAAAAGACATTTCTCCAAAGAGGAAATGCAAATGGCCAACAGGCATATGAAACAATGTTCAACTTCCCTTATAATCAGGGAAATGCAAACCAAACCACATTGAGATACCACCTTACACTAGTAAGAATGGCACATATCAAAAAAAATAAGCAACAAGAAATGTTGGTGAGATCTGCCTGTTCTGTTCCCCGCTCTGGCTCTGGTGAATTCTCTCACCACCCCCGCCCCCCACGCTTCTAACTGTACCCAGTGCTTGTATAAATAAATCTTTAAAAAAAGAAAAAGAAATGTTGGTGAGGATGTGGTGAAAAAGAAACTCTCCTACTTGTTGGTGGGAGTGCAAACTGGTCCAACCACTATGGAAAGCTGTCTAAAGGTTCCTCAATCGACTAAAAATGGAGCTACCATATCACCCAGCAATTCCACTACTAGGGATCTACCCAAAGGACACAAAAACATTGATTCAAAAGACCACCTGTACCCCTATGTTTATTGCAGCACTATTGACAATAGGTAAAGCCTGGAAACAACCCAAATGTCCAAAAACAGATGACTGGATCAGGAAGATGTGGTATATACACAATGAAATATTATTCAGCAATCGAAAAAGATAAACTCATGCCATTTTCAGCAACATGGATGGAGCTAGAAGGAATTATGCTCAGTGAAATAAGCCAGAAGGAAAAAGAAAAATATCAGATGGTTTCACTTATAGCAGGAATACAAAGAAACCAAAGAAGACATCAGTGTGAAAAAATAACAACAGTACAAAACACAACAAAGCAAAACCAGACAATTATAAATCAGGGACATAGTGCAGGGGAGGAGGAGAGAGAGGGATCAGAGGGAGGGAGGGAATGAGGGAGGGAGGGAGGGAGGGAGGAGAACAGGGGATTGAGGTGATGGTGCATAGGTGCATTGGTGAAGGAAACTCTATGGGGACTACACCTGAGGGGGTGGATGGGAAGCAAATATTGTTTAAAAATTAACAATGATTTAAAAAAATAAAAAAATTAATTTGTGAAAAAAAAAAAAAACACCTGGAAAAAAAACCTCTAAGGAGACACATATATATTCTGGATGTGTCTATTTCCTCACTTTCCACCCTACAAACTACTATCATATTGCTAAATCTGTTAAATCCCAGTGTGCTTAACTTACCTCACCTCCAAGCAGCATTCCACTTTCCTAAAATACACTTCCTATTTGCAGCCATCACTCCACTCTAATTTCTTTGTTTTCTCTCTGGTTTATCTTTCTAAGTCTTTATCACCTTCCTCTGTTCTCACCTCTTAAATAATGAGGGTCCTCAGTCTATCTCCCAAGTTGTTCTCTTCTCTGACCCTCTGCACCATCCCAAAAATACTGAGTATATGAGATGGTCTGAAATCACCTTGCCAGCTTCACTCCTTACAACTTCCTACATTCCAGTCTGCATTTGAATTATGGTGAATTTTTATTGTTGTTGTCTTCCTATGTCAAACTGCATTATATCTTGATCTCTGAACATGTTTTTGAGCACATGACCCATTCTACTTGCTCATCATATTGTAAACATGCCTATCTAGTTATCAGTGGCTCCCACCACAGTGTAAGCTTTGTGAGAACCAAAGTCAGTAGTATTATGTCCTTTTTCCAAGTCCAAAATAGTGCCTGGCACATGATAACTGCTCAATAAATATTTCTTAAATTAAAATAAAATTAAGGCATAAAAACAACTGGTATATATTTAAAATGTATAAATGTACTGGTAACCAAAGGAATGTAGATTTAAAAAATGAAAGAGTATTTTCTCCCATCCAAAATTGATTAACCCTAAATGATACTCACATCAGGCAAGAATGTGAAGAAAGGGGCAAACTATTATACTGTGAACAGTAATGACCACAACTGGCAATATGTATATTGCATGCTCTAAATGTTCTGGGGTCAGGCAGAATGAGACTAAAATTGAGACTTTGCCTTACAACTAGTTTTCTGAACTTGGAAGTTACTGAGCTTCTCTAAACTTCAGTTTTCACATCTATAAAGTAAATCAGATTTACTGAAAAGTAGATCAACATGTACTTAGCTGGAATACTGTAGTGTATTAAAAATCAATTAACAAGCAGCTCAAACAGCTACTTAAATTTACTTACTGTAAAATCAAGTGATGTGTTTCATAACAATCTTCTACAAGATAACTGATAAAACTGTCTCAAAAACACGACTGTAATTAATTTCTTCTACAATTATTTATTAATCCCAGTATTTAGCATATGTGTTAGGCATATGTTCTAGTCAAAGGGATATAATCATGAAATAGCTAAGTCTCTATATTCCCATGGGAGACAGATGGTAAATCTGACAACACACTGACACTGAAATATATGGAGAGAAAAGTCTTCTCTTCATTACTGGGAGTTTATGGGGTAGGGTATTTGAGCAAAACCCTGATGAATGAAGGGGAAAGTTAAGTAGATGTGTGTAAAGAGAGAGCTTCAGGAAGAAGGAGAGTAAAGGCTTAGCTGCAGGAGCAAGGGAGGATGATGGCGGAGAGTTGATGGTGGTTGAGGAGAAGCAATCAACCAGTGAGAACAGCAGAACTTGCTATCTGAGAGGTAGACTGCAACAGAATTGTGTGACCTTTTCTGGCAAAGGTTAAAGTGTGGAGTTTATCCTGAGGGTGATGGAAAGCAGTGGAATATTCTGAGTAGGTCAATGATATCATCATACCTTTACTTTAATGGTTTACTCTGGCTTGGAGACAAATAGGCTAAAAAGGAGCAAGAATGAAAGCAGGAAGGCCATGCAATGTGACAGTCTAAATGACTGATGACGGTGACTTGGAATAAAGAGCCTCTGAAGTGTGTATGTAGCAGACTAAGGACATGATTCAAAGGTAGAGCTGTCTGGACATGGCTTTTCAGAACCTAACTCCAGGAATTCATTGTAGCTAATTCAAAAAGATTTGTACATAGCAATACACAAAATAATTGGTTATAAGTTGATTAGTTTAATAAACTCTACTCTATCCCTAAGTTAGAGAATATATAGTCATTTAGAAATCATGATGATATACATCTGAGGAAGTGTGATCCTATACCTCTTGAATCACAGATCTTGTAGTAAACGTACATTACTTCAATTAAAAACAAAAGAAATCATTATGTTGAATATATAAAGACACAGAAAAATGTTCACAATATGTTAAGTGTAAAGAACCAGATATACAACAAAGTATTCAACATTAACCCATTTTGTCAAAAAAAAAAAAAACTGTATAGAAAGTAAACTGAAAAGTATACCCCAGAATGTTAGCAAAATTTCTCTCTGGTTCGTGGAATTATGTATTTGTTAACTTTTCTTCTTTGAGTCTACTGTACTTTCCAAATTTTTTATAGTGACCATGTACTACTGTCATGAGAAGAAAATTTTCAACAAATAAGATTAGTAAAGAATAACCATTTTAGTCCACTAATAGTTTTCTTTGTTACTCACCATCACTTTCCGCAAAGTGTATCTTTTGCAGCGAATGTCATCCATTAGCATCTCATAAGGGGTGAGCTGATATTCAATGGGCAAAGGGTTATACTGCCGTTCCTGGACCTTCTTAAGTTTTACTCCATTTCGTAAATCCCTCATCACCTGTACCCAGAATCGAGCCTGAGAGAACAAAGAGTGTAGAGACGTCAGTGAATAAATTTATTAGTTTTATCTAAATAATTATACTTTGCTCACTGAAGAGTAGACTTCCCACACCTTGTCTTGGAGTTGGGTTATATGGCTGCTTTGCCACTGGAATAGTAGTTAATATAACATGAATAAAGTCTTAAAAAACAAATATAAATGGCCTTGAAATTCTCACTACCATGAGAACATCAGGCCTGGACCAGAAGGATGTCCATTTCTATGACTACCCAGGAGAACAATAACACAAATGTAGACTGGAATTAACGACTCATCTGTGGACCGATGAGCTAAGTAAATGTTCTTATTTTATTCTACTGTAATTTTGTTGTGATTAGTTATGCAGCATTATTGTCACCATAGCTAGCTGATATAACTACCTAATAGCTATTTGACACCCAGCAAATTGTTTCCCTTTCTGAAACCTCGATTCCTCCTCAATAAAAGAAAATGGTACTTCATAACTTGTTAAGAAGATCAGAGCCAATGTATCATGTCTTGAAAGCTGAGTTCTGGAGATCTGTTCTCTCAATGTATTATATTATTTCTCTGAGGACTCATGTGACCATTTTGTTTTTTCTTTTCTCCATTATTTGCTTTGGGGTGCTGATGCTGTAGGTGGGCCTCCTGCTATGTATGGCTCCTCACCCTCACTGGTCCAGGAGCTCACTGTTTGAAGTGGGTGGCTGGTGGGGTCTCATGGGATATTGCAGGACCTGACACTCTAGTACCTCCACCAGTGGGGATCCAGGTGCTCACCCTCCTTAGGGCAATCAGCTGTCCGAACTTGGACTTCTAGTCTTTAGAATGGTGGGGTTCAGTGGCGCACTGCAGGACCTTGCATGGCCTTTTCTTTTTGAGAAATTCAACCACATATTTCATATAGAAAATTCTTACAAAATACATCAGTTGATTTTATAATAAATATATTTAAGTATCTGAGCCACTTAATAATTTTAACACACTACAATATTTCATTAAATATCATTAACCCTGAAACTAAAAAATGAAGAAACACTCTGAGAATTATCCTACTCCATGAGAAATGGTAACATAAGGACAATGGGAATATCAGAGGTGGAAGAGAGAAAAATGGAACAGAAAACATATTTAAAGAAATAACAGAGCAAAACTTCTTGAACCTATGTTTAGACAGGACTAAGTATATAAATCCAGAAAAAATACTTTAAAGTATCAAAGAATACTTTAATATTTTGCAAGAATACTTGCAAAGCTCTCCTTTAGATATGAAGGAGAAATAAAGGCTTTCTCAAAGAGAAACTGAAGGAGTCTGCAAAAACTAGACCACTTCTCAAAGAAAAATTAAAAGATGCTCTCACATCTAAACCAAAGAAAGGAACATACAAAAAGAAATGAAAAAGGGCAAAAAGGCAGCAGCAGACATTCATAAATCAATAATCAATCCAAACATGAAGGGATAAAACTGGCCAGTTAAAGGAGTACATAGTGAAAAACTGAAACCTGTTTCACTAAGATCTGGTACAAGACAAGGATGTCCACTCTCAGCTCTACTATTCAATATAGTATTGGAAATCTTTGCTAGAGCAACCAGACCAAAAAAATTCAGAGAGAACTAAAACTATCATTATCATTTGCAGACAACATAATATAGAGAGAACCCACAGAAAAATTAATTGAAACAATTACCCAGTTTAGCAAAGTGGTACAGTGTAAAAATCAGTGTACAAAAATCAGTTTCCGTCCTATATACAAAAAATAAATATTCATATTTTTATAATTCTTAGCATTTTGCTATTAAAGATGTTCTAATATAATATCAGTAATTTAGATTTCTCTCTTGGGATTGTTTTGTCCCAATTTCTCTAATTCTCTTACTCATTCCTTTAAGATCCAGTGCAAATGTGCCTTCATCTTTTTAAAGTGCAATCTCTTCTCTTGACCTCCTCAGGCTTTAAGAAATCTTGACAGTTGAGGGGCCTCTCTGGTGTTGCAAGGGGTTAAGCACAGCACTATGAAGCTATCAGCAGCCTCTGCAGCATGAGTTCGATCCCCGGCCGACCAGGGAGCAATCCACATGGCACAGCACACTTCTCCTTACTCGCCGGCTGCTCCTCTCAGCAGTGTATTGTGGTCAATCTGCCTGTTCTGTTCTCCATTCTCTCTCTCTGGTGAATCCTCTCACCCTCCGCATCTCTGACCTCTACCCCAGCTCTTGTATGCATAAATAAAAAAATCTCTCAAAAAAAAGAAAAGAAATTTAAAAATTTACTAGCCAACATGAAATGCATACCTAGAACGACACTATCAGAGAACTCTCCTATACAGAAGAAACTTGATAATATTATTCTAAAATGTCAAATAATACAACTTATTGTTTTAGTTTTATTCTTAAATGTACCAATTAATGTCACTCCAAATAGTTCTTTTTTTGATATCATAATTATAAAATTCCATTTCCATCTTGTCTTTTTTCTTTTCTTCTGTGGGTCTGAATAGATGAATACATTTTATAAAATTAGGAACATACTTTATGTAATTACAGCTTGATTTTCTTTTTTTATTGTTATTGGATTTTATTTTATTATTTATTATTTTTAATTATTCTATATATTTTTACATCATTTTTCACTTTTGTACAATGTATGCATTCACTCCAAATATTTCTTTTTTTTTTTTAAAGGGTAGCTTCTTTTTTTTTTTAAGATTTATTTTATTTATACAAGAACTAGGGTACAGGCCAGATGCGTGGGAGGGTGAGAGGATTCACCAGAGACAGAATGGGGAACAGAGCAGGCAGACTGACGAAATACACTGCTGAGGGGAGCAGTGGGCAAGACAGGAGAGGTCTGCTGACATGTGGGTTGCTCCGAGGCCGGCGGGGATCAAACTGGCACTGCAGAGGCAGTGGACAGCTTCACAGCGCTGCGTTCATCCGCCTGTGCCACGAGGGAGGCCCCTCACTCCAAATATTTCAATGAAGGTATATAACTACTGAGAATATTGCTGACAGGAAACACCCAAATGACCATCAACAGAAGAAAACTACTGGATAAAATGTCAGAAGAATTATACTGAGTGAAAAAAATCAAGGAAAAAAAACAGTATATATTATATGGTTATATAGCTAAAATTCTACAATCTGCAAACTAATCTATAATGAAAGAAAGTAGATAACAAGTTGCCTGGAAACTAGGGAGGAGAGATGCAGGAAGCAGGACTTCAAAGGGGTATAAGAAAATTTTGGAAGATGATGGGTAGGTTCATTTTCACTGTAGTGATAAATATGTTTGTGTGTATGTACTTATCAGAACTTATTGATGCATTTTAAATATGGGTAGCTTACTATACCAATGATACCTTAATAAAGTTATTAGAAAGGAATATGGCAAACAATTAAAATCTACAATGTTCAAAAATGACTTGTACTTGTTCAAGTCCCCAAATCTGCATCTACTCCTACTCCTTTATTTAATGAGGTCATTATTTATTCAGTATCCTTAATCTGAAAAGTGAGAATTCTAAAATGTGCCTTCCCAGTGATATCTGAATATATCTCTAACACTTCATGGCATTCACTATCCTGTCCCCAAGACTGTCACCTTACCTCATCCTAAGTCATAAAATAAGGACATAGAATCTTGGTGTCACTAGGATCTAGTACCATGCCAGAAAAAGATTCAAAGTGTGTCATGTGGGGCCTCTCTGGTGGTGCAAGGTGTTAAGTCTTAGCACTATGAAGCTATCAGCAGCCACTGCAGCATAAGTTCCATCCTCAGCCAGGGAGCTAACCCACATGGCAAAGCAGACCTCTCCTGTCTCTCCTGCTGCTCCCCTCAGCAGTGTACTTCAGTGGATCCACCTTTTTCTGCTCCCCACTCTGTCCCTGGTGAATCCTCTCACCACCCCCCAGCTCCACACCTCTGGCCTGCACTCCAGCTCTCATATGCAGAAATCAATAAAATAAATCTGAAAAAAAAAAAAAAAAAAAAAAAAACAAAAACAAAAACAAAAAACCAAACCCCAACTAAGTACATCATGTGAATACACTACAATTATCCATTCTTTGTGAAGGCAGATATCCCATATTATTCATTTTACATTCAGTGAACAGTAACTGTTCACTGAATAAATGAATGTACTACACTATATTTTCCACACATTATCATGAAATAGAGCTTGAACTTTGACTTACAAGGGTATTAAGGTTTTAATTAAGGAATTAATATAACTAGAAAGATCTATATTTTGAAACACCAAAATCCCCAGAGATATTGGAGCAGTTCTAATCAGTTTTTTAAAATGGAAAAATACGTATTTCTTCAAATTTAAGACTTTGTACTCAAGTTCACGTAATAGTAATTCACATCACAGTCCTTAATAACCAGCATTTTAAAAAACACACTATTTCTTCAACTCTGAATAGAGGGAATATCCAGTTATCTTACCCAGTCAGCATTTTTCAGTTCCTCCAGGTCTGTGGGCGATTCATCACCCTTTTCCATTTCTTGAATCTTCTTAAGATTCTACCAAATAAAATAAAAACACTTAAGAATTAAAATTTCATTAGTAAAAGATATGCAGAAGTGCTACTAAAGTACAGATTTTACTCCTCTGTAATTTTCTTTCCATCAATGGTAAACTAAAATAGAAACAGTCCTACACAGGAATAAACTGATATTGCTCACTCTAATTTTCTTTTGGGCCTTGTGGTTAAATTCTTCAGTTACAAATTAACATACAGCTTTTAAGCTGTATTAACATTTCTTTTTCTTGCAATTCACATATCTAATCTATGATTAAATCTCATATTACTTCCTCCTTTATTATTATTATTATTATTTACTTAAGTCCACTGCAAATCCCTTAATCCAAAAAAAAAACCCAAAACTATTTTGCCTGGACTTCTGGACGGTAAGTGAATTAATCAGGCTTTTTATGCCACTGGCTTCTGTGGCTATCACTGCAGCCTTGATTGTGTTGATTGTGGATACCTGGAGCATGCATGTGGGCATACGTAAATGCGCATACCTGAGCCTAGCCAGGAATATAAGGGCAGCATCACTTGGAGGGTGGCTATGAGAGAAAGAGCTTCATGACCACAGAGAGGCGAAACCATGAGAGAATACCAGAGAGAGCCCAGAGATTAAATGTAAAGATTTGTGGGGGACTGGGAGGCTTAGTTGCATGTAGCTTCCCTGCCTGGTCTGCTTGTGTGCCTGGATCCCTGAGAGAGCATTAAGGGCTGCAAAATCCACTGATGGCCCTGGGACTCTCCTTTATCCATCTGTCCGAATCCATAGTGATTCTGCCCTGTGCCTGCTGGCACAACTACTTCTGAGTGATCTCTCCTTGAACACTCCCCTGTCCTCATCCCCATGCCTGGTCTCTTACACTGTGGACTTCAGTTTTTCCTTCAGATGTCAACAGAATCACCAATTCTTCAGTGAAAACTTCCCTTCCTCCTTGATTAAGCCAAATCTTCCTACTGTACAATTTTATAGTACTATATTCTTTTCCTCCATAGCTCTTATCAGTACTGTAATTTTATATTTATTTGTGCCTTCCCTCTAACGTATGAGGCAGAATTCTATTCTCAGAAGCTAATACAAACACTGACTTTTAGATGTTCCATATTTAAAATGTCTATTATTTATTTTCATTTGCTGTATGTATATATTGCAAAATGGTTACGGTAATAAATTACAGCCTCCATTCACCAAACATACCTGTTTTGTGTGTATAAAGAATATTTACAGTGTTAGCAACTGTCAAGTGTACAATACGGTATTGTTAATTGTAGTCAAAATGCTGTACATCAGATCTCCAGAACTTATTTCTCTTATAACTGGAAGTCTGTACCCTTTTAAATTGTTTTAATTAGCATTTGCAATTTTAAGAAAACACTGATAAGCAAAATATGTTCACATATTAATTACAAATTTACTATGCCATTCTACTCACAATAATTCACCCTGATATATTTACATTTTACTGAGCCTATCATTGCATTTTGATTAAGTTTAAATACATTGTATGAAACCTATCTTATTTTATATGAAAATAAGCTTAGTATGGAACATTTCTAAACTTTGTTTTTAGCTTCTCAAATCTCAGATTAACCATCTGCAAAATGAGAATAACACTATCTGCTTTTTTTTAACTTAGTAATGTATAAGAATATTAATGTAGAAGAATAAAATTACTTTGAACCTTGAAGAGAATGTGATATAAAATAATGTATTATTTTGCTCCCAAGAAAGAAACTGGGGAAGGAAGGGGGAATATTTTTGGTTGTTTCAGAATGTGTTTCCATAATTATTTTAAAAAGAAAATTAAGGCTTGAGACTCTCTAAGAAATCACTTGCCCCTCACAAGGCGGATCTTGTCTGGGTTACCCTCCTTGGGTAAGGACAAAGAAAAATATTACTATTTACCTTGCGATGTTGTTAAGATTTACAAAATAATCACTTAAACATAGCAGAGTCAGGCACTTACAGTCTTTGGGGAAAACTGAGTCCTAAACTACACATTTAAGGATGCCCTAATATCCAGTGTCCCAGACTGGTCCCTATTCCTCATCCAGAGCCTTGCTCTTTTCCTGGCCCTACTCGGCTGTGGGAGAGTGCTAGGGAAGTGATAATGGAAACTAATAGGCAATGATCTACTGGTCATTTAATCTGAACATCCCACATTACAGGGGACCTGAGGCTCACAGAAGCTAGCTAACATGAGGGGTATGATGGAGAAGGAGTGAAGGAAGTGGCACCAAGTCTCAGAGATGAGAGAAGATGCATGGAAGGAGTACTTAACATCTTCTAAATGAGTATTTATGAACTAACATTACACAAGGAAAAAAATAGGTTTCATGACTTGTAACTGGGCTTTGCAGATAATGAGTACCTAATATCTGGTGTCACATGTCAAAATATGAGCAACAACATTATTTCTAAATTAGGACTGTGAGTTTTCTATCTTGAAAGATACACCAGATGTATTGATATACACAGATTTCTGATATTCACAATCCTAATTTTATCTAGGGATTATTAGTTATCTGTTTTAAAAATCTCCGAGGACTCTCCGACCAACAGGAAGGAGGAAAAAACTAAAACAACCAACAAGAACAAACTATGCAGGACTGAGAGTGGAAAGGAACTATTTCAGCCACCATACCCCATGAACTGGAGCTGTGGAGAACCCTGCAGGTTCGCCAAGGAGGTGAGTGAATGGCTCCAGGGACCATGAGAGAAAAACAAAGACTCCCAGAGACCTACACACAGTCCCAGGCCAGCCGGTAAGCTTGTGCAGAAAAGCAGCGCACTTGAAAAGGATACACGGATCATGGCTGCCCAGGTCCCTGCGCGTGCGAGGCCCCTTCTGTCCTGCAGTCAGAGCCCAGAGGGGTAGCAGGAACCCACCACCAGGGCAGACTGGGCACACAGGGAGTACGTCCCGCATCGCCATTTTAGAACAGGGACATTTCTCCAGTAAAGACTGCCTGAAACCAGCAGAAGGATCCCAGAGGAGCCAGAGGTGAGCTGGGAAGTTTGCCCACACCAGCCCATTCTGGCCTGCAGTCCAAGCCCAGAGGGGAAGCAGGAACCCACGCCCTGGGCAGACCAGGCATGCAGGGGAGCATGTCCCTGCATGGGCATTTTAGAACAGGGACCTTTCTTCAGTAAAGACTGCTTGAAACCAACACATGGTTCCCGGAGGAGCCAACGGGAGCAGAGAAGTTCACCCAAGATGCCGGCCAGTCCCAGCAACACAGCATCCCAATGCATACGGCAAAACAGAAAACAGACAGTAGGGAGTAGAAGAACCACACGCAACCTAGCAACCCCTCAGGAAAAAAGCACACCACAAAAAGAAAGCCATCCCCCAGATTGCAATGACAGTAACTTGGAAGAACTTATGAGCCTTCCAGAATGAGAATTTAAAATTGCCATGATTAAAAAACTGATAGAAGTCCTAAAGGAAAACAATGATAAGGGAAAAATAATCAACGATCAGAAGAAAGAAATTGAGTCCCTAAAGAGGGAAGTAAAAGAAATGCAGGAGATCAAAGAATTAATGGAGGCACTAAAGAACTCTGGGAAAAGCAATGAAAGCAGAATAGAGGAAATGGAAGAACGAATAAGTACTCTCAAAGACACAGAAATGAAAAGAACCAAAACAGAAAAGGAAAGAGAAGTATGAAGGAAAAAGACAGAAGAAAGACTTCGGGAACTATCTGACTCCATGAGGAAAGGAAATATAAGAGTTATAGGAATCCCAGAAGGAGAGGAGAGATATGTGGGAACAGAGAAAATATTGAAGGAAATAATTGAAGAGAACCTCCCAAACGTGAAGAAGGAGCTAAAAATTGATATACAAGAAGAGCACCAAACTTCCACGATGAAAGGAAAAATACAGCAAGACACATAATAGTAAAGCTCCCAAGAATCCAGGACAAGGAAAAAATAATGAAGCTGACAAGAGGGAAGAAACAGATAACATTCAAACGAAAACCAATCAGGCTGATATCAGACTTCTCGGAAGAAACACTACGGGCAAGGAGAGAGTGGGGGGACATAGTCAGTCAACAGACTCCAAGAAAACAGATGCCAACCAAGAATACTCTATCCCGCAAAGCTCTCCTTCCTCTATGAAGAAAGAATAAGGACCTTCCCAGACAAACAGAAACTCTGGAAATTCATTATGACTAAACCCAAACTCCGAAAAATACTACAAGGAGTCCTAAAGCCAGAACCTCAGAGGGACGAACAACAACGAAAGAAGGACAAAAAAAAAAGTTATTAAAAGATTAAATAAATAAAATCAAAGGAAAGACAAACACAATGGCAAATACAGATGCTAACATATCAATATTAACTCTAAATGTAAATGGACTAAACTCTTCAATAAAAAGACACAGAGTCGCAGGTTGGATTAAGAAACAAAACCCAACCTTTTGCTGTCTCCAGGAAACACATTTAGCTACGAAAGATAAAAATAGACTCAAAGTTAAAGGATGGAAAACAATCCTACAAGCAAATGGACTAAAAAAGAAAGCAGAACAGCTATACTTACATCAGATCAAACAGATTTCAAACTCAAAAAGATAAAAAGAGACCCCAATGGTCACTACATTATGATCAAGGGGACAATACACATACGTAGTGGGAGACTTCAACACACCACGATCAACAATGGATAGATCAACGAGACAAAAAATAAGTAAAGACACTAAATCTCTAAATAAGGATCTAGAGCGCTTGGGCTTAACAGACATCTATAGAACACTAAACCCCCAAAAAAACGGCATACACATTTTTCTCAAGCGCACACAGATCATTCTCCAGGATCAATCACATACTGGGACACAAGACAAACATCAACAGATACCCCAAGATTGAAATCATACCAACCATCTTTTCTGACCATGAAGGCATCAAGCTAGAAACCAAAAAAGAAGGCAAAGAACTCTCCTACCTCATGGAGATTGGAAACTGCACGACTGGAAGACCACTGGACTAATGAG